ATTCGTGCTTGATAAAGGTGGGCCGAAATTGGGTTCAAAGGTGGCACCATATCCTCTCCAATGGGTTGGTATCTTCTTGGACTTGTGTAGAATATGTTTGGGCTCTTCCAGTCACTCGTTCACAACGAGTACCCATGATTGTGATCTACATCCAATGCGTTGATCACACCTCATGCTAGTCTTGATTCAACATTGTTCCCACAATGATGACTGACTAGGGAGTTTAGAATCATTCTCTAATGATTCAAGGATCCCGCAATACAACAAACATGCTAATCGTATAACGGAAAAATAATGCATTCATAAATCAATGAATCAATACAAAGTCAAATGTCATATCATGGATCATCTTAGAGCATTACAACCAACACCTTCCACATACCCAGAGGCTACGGCGAGTCCCGACTCCGAGAAATGGCGCGAGGCGATGAAGTCTGAGATGCAATCCATGTCAGACAACCAATTATGGACTATGGTTGATACATCTGAAGGGTAAAACCCATCGGATGCAAGTGGATCTTCAAGAAGAAGACAGACATGGATGGCAACGTGCACACATATAAGGCACGACATGTGGCGAAATGAAGATTCATAGTATTGACTATGATGAGTCCTTTTCGCCTGTAGTCATGCTGAAGGCCATCAGGACCCTGCTTGCCATAGCCGCATATTACGACTATGAGATATGGCAAATGGATGTCAAGACCGCGTTCTTTAACGAAAATTTGACCGAGGATGTGTATATGACACAACCCGAAGGTTTTGTCGATCCAAGAAACCCGAGGAAGGTGTGCAAGCTTCAGAGGTCCATCTATGGACTGAAGCAGGCTTCGAGAAGCTGGAACCTTCGCTTTGATGAAACAATCAAAAGGTTTGGTTTCTCACAGAACGAGGACGAGCTATGCGTTTACAAGAAGATCAGTGGGAGCACAGTAGTATTTCTAGTGATGTACGTGGATGACATTCTCCTATGACGTTCCTACCTTGCAAGATGTAAAGTCTTGGTTCAGAACGCAGTTTTCTATGAAGGACCTAAGAGAAGCGGCCTACATTTTAGGCATCAAGATGTATAGAGATAGATCGAGGCGGCTTCTGGGATTGAATTAGAGTACCTACATCGATAAGGTCTTGAAACGGTTCAAGATGGAAGATTCCAAGAAAGGAACCTTACCGATGAGCAGTGAGACAGTTCTCTGCAAGAGTCAATGTCCTACGACACCTGATGAGCGAGAACACATGGATCAGATTCCATATGCTTCGGAAATTGGATCCATCATGTATGTCATGCTTTGTATTCGACCGGATGTATCCTATGCGTTGAGCATTACGAGTAGATACCAGTCAGATCCAGGTGAATCACAGTGGATCACCGTCAAGAACATCCTGAAGTACTTGAGAAGGACTAAGGATGTGTTCTTGGTATACGGTGGGTCGGAAGACGAGCTCACTGTAAGGGGTTACACCGATGCTAGTTTCCATACAGACCCGGATGACAACAGATCGCAGTCTGGCTATGTTTTATGCTTGAACGGATGCGCTATAAATTGGAAGAGTTCTAAGCAAGCGTCCGTTGCAGATTCTACTACAGAAGCTGAGTATATTACAGCGTCGAACGCAACAAAAGAAACTTTTTGGATCAGAAAGTTCGTTGGCGACTTGGGTGTCATTCCTAGTGCTGATAGACCCATTGCTCTGTATTGTGACAACAATGGTGCAATCGCACAAGCGAAAAAACCTAGGTCCCATCAACGATCTAAACACATACTCTGACGATTTCACCTCATCAGGGAGATCATAGACAGAGGAGACATGCACATATGCAGTGATGAGGACATCGACCAAGACATGGACGATGACGAACAAAACCTAAACGAGAAGCAAGACGATGCCATAGACGCTATAGGAGGAGAAGAAGTGGACCCCGAGCTTACCATGCCAACCATTCCCATACCTCCACTCACAAGACAAAGGACTCGAAGCCTACGTTCAAAGATCAATGCATATGTCGAAGAATGGCTGATCAAAACATCCAACAAGGGGCCATACAATGCAAAGGACACGATAGCGGCAACAAGCACAAAACATCGCAATGTCTTGGAGTTTGTGTTGTCCAACACTTAAGATTTCGTGGACTAACACCTGGGCTACTAAGAAGATATTTGAAGAATGTATTCTCAATAAATGAGCTGAAGATCCAAGCCCAAAGAGCCCAAACATATTCTACACAAGTCCAAGAAGATACCAACCCATTGGAGAGGATATGGTGCCACCTTTGAACCCAATTTCGGCCCACCTTTATCAAGCACGAATTGGGGATGTTTTCTACATTATTTCAACCTCATGAAGACCTTCTTTAAGCCTCCTAGCCGTTGCAAGACGTTGGCCTTCCACTTCCACCAACTCTCCACTTGTTCCTTACTTTATGGTGTCTTGTTTCCCATTACCTTTCTTTAATGTTTTGTTAGCTCCTCCTCATGCACGAGTTCTATTTGATTTCTTCTGTATTTCAAGCCTATTTAAAGGCCTTTGTATGTCAAGAATGAGCAGACTTTGAATTGATAAAAATCGAGTTGCTTAATTGCTTCTTCTTCTTGGTGTGTCCGAGAATATCGCCTTCTGCGCATGTGTGTGTGTGTCACCCTTGTGCAAGGTCAAATCGTGGTGGATTCAAGGTTGGTTTAGCTCCTTTGAATCCTCTTTCATACCCCTATCTTCCATCAAAAATTGGGAATCATCCGAGTGCCCTTTGGCCTGGAACTTCCCTTCCATCTATCACCTAAACCGAGTGCTCTCGAGTGCTCTATTTTAGTCCGACTTGTGTGTTGATTTCTAAGGACTCCGAGTGCCCTTTGGCCTGGATATCCTCTTGAAATCTAACCATAGGAATACCTTAGTGAGTCTCCAAGTGTCCCCTGGTTTCGAGCTTGTTGTATTCGTTGTCCAAAAGGCAACATAAGACACAATACGTACTTGATGGTAACCACTCTTTAAATCCACCTTTGAAAACATGGTTGCTCCACTCAACTCATCTAACATATCATCTAGTCGTGGAATGGGATGACGGTACTTGATGGTGATGTTGTTTATCGCTCTACAATCAACGCACATGCGCCACGTCCCATCCTTCTTCGGTACGAGCAAAACCGGCACTGCACAAGGACTTAAGCTTTCGCGTATATAACCCTTAGATAATAACTCTTGTACCTGCTTTTGGAGTTCTTTAGTTTCCTCGGGATTCATACGATAAGCAGGACGATTCGGTAGAGGTGCTCCCGGTACGAGATCAATTTGATGCTCGATCCCTCGAATTGGTGGCAATCCTGCGGGTGTTTCCTCGGGGAAAATGTCTTGGAAACATTCCAAGAGTCTTGTGATCTCCGGAGGGTGCACAATCTGTTCGGAGCCTGTACTCAAAGCATCTTTGAACAACATTAGTAAAACCAAGCGGTCATTGACTAACGCTTTACTTACCGTACTCGGTTTTACATAAAAATTTGTCTTTTTGTCGTCGCCTTCCTTTGACAACTTCACTTGCATCTCATGAACCTGCGATGGACTAAGGGGAGCCAACGATATCTTACGTTTGTTATATATGAATGAATAATGGTTAGTCCTACCATCATGTTTCACCTCTCGGTCGAATTGCCAAGGTCGTCCAAGAAGAATGTGTCCGGCTTGCATTGGAACCACATCACATACTACTTCATCTTGGTATCTCCCAATGCTAAATGAAACTTTGACTCTCTCTTTTACCTTAAGTTCACCTTGGTTGTTAAGCCATTGTAACTTGTACGGATGAGGATGCTTCTCGGTTTCAAGCCCTAGTTTCTTTACCATGTAGGCACTCGCAACGTTAGTACAAGAACCACTATCAATAATTAAACCACATACCTTGTTCCTCACGGTACAACGACTGTGGAATATGGTCTCTCGTTGTGCGGTTTCTTCCGGATTTGTCATGGCGCTTAAAACGCGTCTCGTGACCAATAACTCACCACTATCCGGGTATTCGATCTCTTCTTGTACTTTCTCAACTTCATCCTCGTCCATTGACTCATACTCTCCCGCGTCGGTGAGGATCATGACTCGATTGTTCGGGCAATCCTTAGCATAATGTCCGCGTCCCCTACACTTGTAGCAAATAATCTCTCGAGTTCGAAGGTTAGTAGTGTTCGATTTACTTACCTTTGCATCCTCCTTATAAGTAGCCACGGATTTCCCCTTGGCCTTAACATGAATTTCATCAAGATTTGGTCGGCTCACATCGGTGGAAATGCCCTTGTACTCGGTTCGGTGTGTCGGAGGATTTGGTGCGGTCATCCGAGCTCGGTTTACCCGAGTTTGCTTCTTGTTGATTTGTTGCTCAATTTGTATTGCCATATGAAGTAGTTCCTGCAACTCATGGTAAACTAATCTTTCTACCTTGCGAGAAATTCGTTCTTGCAGTCCATTAACAAATTGTGCCATCACCGCTTCCTCGCTTTCGTTCCGGAAGAAACCGCACAACGAGAGACCATATTCCACAGTCGTTGTACCGTGAGGAACAAGGTATGTGGTTTAATTATTGATAGTGGTTCTTGTGCTAACGTTGCGAGTGCCTACAAGGTAAAGAAACTAGGGCTTGAAACCGAGAAGCATCCTCATCCGTACAAGTTACAATGACTTAACAACCAAGGTGAACTTAAGGTAAAAGAGAGAGTCAAAGTTTCATTTAGCATTGGGAGATACCAAGATGAAGTAGTATGTGATGTGGTTCCAATGCAAGCCGGACACATTCTTCTTGGACGACCTTGGCAATTCGACCGAGAGGTGAAACATGATGGTAGGACTAACCATTATTCATTCATATATAACAAACGTAAGATATCGTTGGCTCCCCTTAGTCCATCGCAGGTTCATGAGATGCAAGTGAAGTTGTCAAAGGAAGGCGACGACAAAAAGACAAATTTTTATGTAAAACCGAGTACGGTAAGTAAAGCGTTAGTCAATGACCGCTTGGTTTTACTAATGTTGTTCAAAGATGCTTTGAGTACAGGCTCCGAACAGATTGTGCACCCTCCGGAGATCACAAGACTCTTGGAATGTTTCCAAGACATTTTCCCCGAGGAAACACCCGCAGGATTGCCACCAATTCGAGGGATCGAGCATCAAATTGATCTCGTACCGGGAGCACCTCTACCGAATCGTCCTGCTTATCGTATGAATCCCGAGGAAACTAAAGAACTCCAAAAGCAGGTACAAGAGTTATTATCTAAGGGTTATATACGCGAAAGCTTAAGTCCTTGTGCAGTGCCGGTTTTGCTCGTACCGAAGAAGGATGGGACGTGGCGCATGTGCGTTGATTGTAGAGCGATAAACAACATCACCATCAAGTACCGTCATCCCATTCCACGACTAGATGATATGTTAGATGAGTTGAGTGGAGCAACCATGTTTTCAAAGGTGGATTTAAAGAGTGGTTACCATCAAGTACGTATGCGTGAAGGAGACGAGTGGAAAACCGCATTCAAAACAAAACAAGGGTTGTACGAATGGCTCGTCATGCCTTTTGGCCTTACCAATGCCCCAAGCACGTTCATGAGACTCATGAACCATGTCTTACGTGCTTTCATCGGTAAATTTGTTGTTGTTTATTTCGATGATATTTTGGTTTATAGCAAATGTTTTACCGAACATGTGACACATCTTGAGCTCGTGATGGAGACTCTCCGTCGAGAGAAGCTATATGCGAACCTCAAGAAGTGCACATTCTGCACTAATGAAGTTGTTTTTCTAGGATTTGTTGTGAGTTCGCAGGGATTAAGCGTGGACGAAGAAAAGATCAAAGCTATTCGAGAGTGGCCCACACCAACTACCGTTGGCCATGTTCGAAGTTTCCATGGCTTAGCAAGTTTTTACCGTCGTTTTGTGCGAGATTTCAGCAGCCTTTGTGACACCCGTAACCCGTGTACAGTATACGGGCTGTGCCACATGGACGATATAGAATAAAATATTAAATTAACAAATTTGCGGAAGCGAAAAACGCGGAAAACAAAAACATTTTTAAACAAACCAGAGTAAGCAGCGGAAAATACAACAGGCGATCAGTATCGCAAAATAACACATGTCCGAATAGTTATAATTAACCGTACAAAATGCGGGAAATACAAGTCCCTGGAGTTAGGAAAACAAATCCCGTACATGATGCTGCTGCTCTCCAGTCGTCGTCGTCCGATGAGCTAGGCGTAATCCTCGTGATCTGGAAAAATATGAAACCCCGAGGGCTAAGCACACCTCTCGGGGCTAGCTTTGAGCTCCTCTTGTTTGGGAATCTTTCTGGCCTAAGATGCAGCCACACCCAATCCCCGACTTCAAATGACACCTTCTTACGTCCCTTGTTGGCTTGTCGTGTGTAT